AAGTTCAGGGAAACTGTGTGAGAGCCAGGGAATACTGGGGTGGTAGTTATTCCAGGTAAAGTAAAAGCCAAAAACTAGGGCTACATAGAAATACAGATCATAGAAGAATAAAATGTAGGTCCCCGAAGTTGTCAGTGTCAGAGGGGCAAGGATCTCCTGGATCAATTATTTGTCAGATCTGGAGACAAAACTGGAAGTGTTGACTCATTTGCAAGGGGATGAAAGGGTCAGCCATGAAAGAAAGCAGTCCGACCCCATCTACTACCCTCTGATTTATCTGCAGGGAGAATTAAACCCCTGTATAAAGGGAACTATTGTTTTACAAGTACCTGCTATCATAAGTAAACCAGATAACAATCCATTGATTTTGTTAAAAAAAGAATTAAAGTTCCCTTAAACGTTTGAGTGTTTTCTTAGCTGAATGTTTACATTAGGCTCCATTCTTTCCAACACTTTTATCTCCCTTATTTAGGAATCATTTTCTGCTATAGATACAACTATACACAAATACTTCCTATTAAACTGCCAGTTTTCAGCACAGAAACACATTAACTCACAAAGCACTTTCAGAAGTACTTAAATTTTCCATTGACAAAGTGGACATGTTTATGTGCCCTTTGTGGGAGGTCGGACACCAGATTAATTCCTGAAGATAACATTCTATTAGAGAATAAACTAATTTCAAACAATTTAGGAGGGATAATATAGGAGTTCTTATTTTGCTACAGTGTTATTTTTAATTATTCAGTAATGTTCAAACAATTTAGCATATTCAGAATGCCTTGATGTAAAGGTACCCTTCTTCATAAAGCGACTCTGTTCCAGTTATCTTCTGTATCCTTCAAAGTACAAGCAGGACTCAGCCTTTGACAGAGGATTACAGTCATAACATTTTAGATTCATTTTAGTTTTAAGAAAGTTCCAGAGAAGAAATGTTACAGCTTGTCAAGATTCCTTCTACATTTAACAATATTCATTATAAAAAAAATTTTATACTGAACATAATTTATGAAGTTGAATTTTACCTCATTTCTTCTTTCCAGGAATTCAGTGGAAATAAAGAAGCTTTCATATATCCATAAGCTATAATAATAGCTGTTATTTATTGAGCACTTACTTTGCGCCATGTACTGTGATAAAAGCTTTACACATTAAACTACTTCATCTTCATACCATGATTTAAAAGTACATATTCTTGTTTCTATTTCACAGAAAAAAAAAAAAAACTGGAGCTTGGAGAGGTAAAGGGTGGCTCAGGATCTCAAAATGAAAAAGTAACAGAGCTGGGGCTCAGCTGAGGTCCTTCCTGTTCTTAATAATAAGAAACTTAACTGCCTCCCAAGTGTCCCCTCTCAGCACTGTCTTTACCACTCCCAAATAACCCTAATCCTTTACTCAGTGGTCTGCTATGTAAACATCTCAACTCTTCTCTAAACCCTCTCAAGATTTTCCAAATCCACCCTACCGGGAAACAAGGATTAAACTTTCTAAGAAGGAACTTTCTCAATGTTTCCCAAATCTACTTTACCAGGAAACACAGATAAAGCTTCTTAATAAGGATTATTTTATAAAGCATAATTACTAGATTCCTACTTTAGAGTCTCAACTCTATCAATTGCTTAGTAACAGTACGCAGGTACTGTGTGGTGGCTTATAAACCACCTTAATGTCTACACCATTTCTAAGAACACAAGCTACCAGTGGAATACTTGGTGGTGAGTATAGCTAATGTAATTGATCTTTTATATTTATAAGGTTATTTTTTAAAATAGAATGAAATATTGCATTATATGCATAACTGTGTTAGAATCACCATCTTAGAATGAGAACCAGATTCATTTTTTCTCTTTTATAAAGAAATACATGTCAGAATGAATATGGTAGTATAAAACAAGAGATAAGAAAAAAAAAAGAAGGTTGATATCCTGTCAACTAAATGCCTTGGATGATAAATAACTAAATTAAAACAAAATTAATGTTATCTTAGACTAGGTTTAATTTTATACTTCAGTGGATTTTTCATTACACCATCTGGGATAATATAGCTTCTAACTGAAGTATTTTACCTTGTTCATAATTGTGTATTCCACATGCATTCCGAGTACGTCACTATCTTTAATGTTTCCTGCCCCACCACTTCTCTCACACACACTTGGCTATTGAAAATACAATAAAATAGAGGTGGGAGTTATTATACCCATGAGTACGGTAATTAGTACCTCTTATGAGGAATTTTTGGCTCACTTCAAATAATTTCTTATCAATGTGGCATGAAATACCAGATGTAATAGTATATAGTAAATTTTTCATAAGAACTTTTATCAATTCACAGTTTAGGCAATGGCCTTTAGTTCAGAGGGAGGACACACACCTCAGTAAAGAAGGGAGAGAGACCTTACAAGAATGACCTTGTGCTCTTCTTACATCATCAGTCACAAAAGTCACCGTCACCTCCTGGCCCCACCCATGACCACCAGCCCAATTTCAAGTTGAGAGAAAATAGCAGTGTCCCGAGATTTGCTAATTATTCCAAGGAACAGAAAGCAAGGAGGGAGAGATTTCTAGCACAATGCCACTGCAAATATATTGAATATCTTTCAGAATTGTTGAATTCCTTCTATGAAACAAATAAAAACCTTGTTACTTGGCTGACACAAATTTCATCCAGTGCTTGAATTAGGATTTACACTGATTCTTTTATTTCTGTCTTCTAACTTGTATGTGCTAAAAGAAAAGGTTTAAATTCTGTTGCTTTTGTATAAATACCCAAATAAATTTATGGTACATTACACATCACAAGTTTTCAGTCGCCAAATATGTGAAACATTTGTCCTAGGTAACTGTGCAAAATACAGCTGGGTTACATTGGAGCCTACACTGGCTTCACAAACAACAGTTGCCTTAGAAATGACGTTTATGGAGGTGGAAAAGACTCCTGTATGACTAGTAAGTCCTTCTGTTTGTGTTGCGCATGCACACTCTCAGATCTACTTTCCAATTCTCCTCACACACTAGTTGCAATACTCTGAGCAGACTATGAGGGGCCCAGCTTTCAATGGGTTTAGAGTGGCAAGGGATCCCCAGTGATCCTGTCAAAAGTATTATCTCAAACAGTATTTACAGAAGGCATGGGATTTCTAGGACTTCTGCAGAGGCAGAAAGTCCTCTGGTTGGTCTCAGAGTAAGTCATGGAGTTTTCAGCCTTAGAGGGGGGTTGAGTAGCTCCATCAGGATAAGAATGAAGCATACACACACAGAGGGGGCCTTAGGCTTTCCTTCTGAGAGCACTGTGAGTACATGGGCCTGTCTTTCCAACAAGGAAGCTGGTTTGTGATCATTATTCATATTTGGATCAGACCATGGATTTGTACCTGAAATCCATCATTTCAATTATATTTGGTAAAGCTCTTTTAGGTCATTAAAATTTATGTACACTGCTTTAAAACTACCTTTGATTCAGTTCCAGTATTACCAGAAATGTTCCAGAAATGTTTATAACTATTGCTCTGATAGATAGTATTCTAAGTTAAAACAACCGTGATTAAACAAATTCCATGTTATTGAATTTGAATACAAATTAACATCTTGCTGAAATAGCAATAGCCAAATTTATTTCCTAGAACTAGATTCTCTTACCAACCCTCTCCTACTAAATGAAACCTAAAGCAAAGGAAGAAGAAAAACTATGTATCATAGCTTGGACTTTACATGTGTTTTTTTCCTTTGTTCCTGTACAAAAAAAGGAACTGTTAGTATCTGAAATTCTGGTTTAGAAAATGCATATACCAGTATTAAATGATAGTTACAATGAGAAAGTTAAGATGCTGCAGACCCACACTCAGCAGCCTCCTGGTAAGCAGGCCCACTGATGCAAATTTACTCAGGACATTGGGAAATATAAGCTGCTCCTCTCCTACCTGTCAGTCTCTGAGGTTGTTCATTCAATTCACAAAATCCTGGAATCATAATGTTGGACAAGACCATGGCAATTATCGAGTCCAATCTCTTAATTTTATAGATAAGAAAATTGAAATCACTCTTTTTATATGTACCCAGACAAAAATGTACAACTCAATTCAATATTTCTATTTAAATATTTAGGCTTCCAATATATCCATTGATACAAATGAAACGCCATTTCAAAAGTCACAGAAACTTGTATTCCATTTGTTTTATAATGAAACCTCAAGCACCCCTTAGATAATGTTGCCACTATTGAACTTAAATTTGTCTTTAAGAATGTCTATCTCCCACCATGAGCATGGGTAGGGCAGGGGAAAGTGGTGGTGGAAAAATGGAGACAACTGTATTAGAACATCAATGAAAAAAAGTAAAAAAAAAAAGATTCTCCAACTCATGCTGAGTGAGAAATGATAATCCAAATCAATCAGACTCTAAGCATCTCTAAAGCAAGGCTTATATCTTACCTGGCTTCACATTCCTAACACCTAGCAGAGTATCTACCACAAAGCAGATGTTTTTTGTTTTTGTTGTTGTTTTTTTAATGTGTTGATTAGCCAAATGAATAAATGATTGCTCTGAATATCAGTGTAGTAGCAAAATAAACAGAAGTGAAACATGAAAGCCCTTCTTGGCCTAGTTTATGTTATTTAGTTGTAATTCGGGGTGTTATCAACACTTGGATTCACATTGGTTTATCATCACAGGATTTTACCTGAAATTCTCATAAGAATAGGTGCCACCCTTACAACTTTCTATTCTTAACACTCTAAAAGTGTATTGGAAACAGTCCAACAGAAGCATGATAGAAACGAAACCCGCTATTAACTAAAGATACATCTAACCTGCATAACCATTTACACCCCCCTCCTACTCTTTCCACTTTAAGCTTATTTCACCACAGAATCATATGGTCGTTTAAACTCAGTGTTGCTGCCGGAATCCAAGCAGGCATGAAAACTTGTTTTATTCCAACATGCTCCTGGTCTTTCCTCAATTTTCTCAGTTCAAATGATACTAGAGAAATGTAAACCTCTCACCATCCAGATGGTCCACGTAACAATACACATCATAAGTTTCATGAGAAGAACGGAATCCATAGGTCCTGACACCTTCCTTCCCCATCATGTCTCCATAACAACCTTCTCGGGGAGTCCGGATGGGATATCTGGAGAAATAAAGAACTAAAAATTAGCACCTGATTCTCACTCCCAATCGACGAATTAAAGCCTGTGGCCCCCAGACATCTCACCTAACAGTCTGATCAGCCAGCCAGCCTGCATCGCACTGCTCGAATCCATCTTCATAGGCAGCATTGAGCTGCTCTGGACTTGCTATGACTGCTCCAACGTCCAAACAAGCCTTCTGCGCACTCTCAAAATTCAGAGTGTACCTACTGGTGGCCGCCCTGTAGTGAAACACAACCCCTGCAAAGACAGCAGCAAACAATTACGGGTATGTTCAATCTGCCACCACAATGTGCCAAGTTTCTCATTGGAGCAATATTCAAATTATTGCTAACATGGTAATAATGCCTTGATAATTCTATATTTTTACTTTATGTAGCATTATGCAAAATGATGGTGATATGAGGAGCCCCAGAAATGCCATTCACTTGGGTGTCCCATTGTGCTTCATTACAAAGTTCCCTAGCCATACATTTTCTGTTCACATGTACGTAATCTAAGATTTAAGCCACTAAATCCCAAAATGTGGACAGTTGTCCTAATACAAGTAGTATTCAGTAGTGTTCATGGGAACACTGGACAACTAAAGGGAGTAGTTGCAAGGGATAAAAAGAGTTTAGGGGCCACAAAACCAACATCTACTTCATGATTTTTCCCAGAGCCAACTCAGAAGCACATGGAACATTCATGAACACCACTTCTCCTAAACATAAAACATATTTACTTCCAGTGACAATACACTAAGATGGAAAAGATACTGTACTAGGTATGAGTGAGAAGGCTTGTTTAATCCCTAATTATCTCCTTAAACACACACAAATTCTTAATCATGTACTGGACCTTAATTTCATCCTCCTTAAGTATGACTAATACTGCTTATGTTCTTTGACTAATGTGGTGTTGAAATTAGGTAAAGGATTTTAAAATGTTGGACAGGCTACTAAGTACTACTCAAATGTTTATCATATTTATCATCTGATCAGCATAATTTAGGGTCTCCCATATGACAGACAAAATGTAGGACTTTTATCCAAAAGAAGTCCTGAAGTCAAGTCAGGAATCCTGGTACTTGTCTCAAATTCCACTTTCTTGTGTTTTAGGAGTTGCATAAACTAGTAGCTCTTCCTGTCCTCCAGGGCTCAAGGAATTGTCAAAGGGCTGAGGAAAGAGAAGCTGAGGTGGAGCTGTGGTCCTCTCCTCCCACTTCAACAAGAGCATCTCCATTTTCAACTGGAATAAATATGGTGACTCATTTCTGTAAGTCTGCAAAGCAAACCAAGCTAATATGCCTGAGAAGTCACCAGAAAATAGAAATTGGGACATCTGGGTCTCATGGATGAGCTTTTGAGTCATATCATTTGACTACTTTTCTTTTTCGTTATGCAGAATGAATTTTGGTTTCTGAAATATCTTCTACTCTCCTTTTATTCCTAGTACTTTACTGGGGTTGACAAAAGTCTGCCTTTCAGAGCCTGACATCTAACTATAAGAATCTCCCACATATCCATACCTAGATTGTTTGAGGTCTGTGCCAACAAAGGAAGTAACTGTGAGGGAACAGACTAGCCATGTCGTAGATGAGCACACGTGATCAGTGCCAACACAAAAAGATCTACACAGGCACCAAGTAAGATGCATTGACAATTAATATTTGTGTTCCCATCTCTGATATTGGAAACAAAATCATCTACTGCATTTCAGAAAATTTGTACCTTTACAGAACTACTCTGAAATTGCCAAGACGTATATATGATGGTATTTGGTAAGTATGAGAGGTGGCTTATAATAATCTCTAAGGCAAAGCAAGAATTTGAACAGTTGTAAATTAGTCTTATGTTGACTGAAGCTTCAAATAGTCTTCTTGATAATTAAAAATCTTCTGTGTGCACTGCAGATTGGCAGTGAGGGGCACAAAAGAGCCTCCATGCCCAAGGCAGTGAATAACAGACTGTACAAGTATCTGCAACTGTTGGGATCATTTGAATACCTCATGCAGCTAAGGAGATTAAGCAGAGGATTTTCATTGTTTCAGAGGGGCAAGGGGCAAATCCATTGTTAATTCTTTAATGATAATTTTAAGAATTTGTTAAACTCTTGGGCATTTTAAATATATATTTAATATATTTATATTATATATATATTTATATATAGTATGTATCTATCTATCTACCTATCAAGAGAAATATTAAAAGCATAAAACAATTCTATGCTAACTAAAATTAATGACAAAAAGCTTAAAAGAGCAAAGAACACAGGATATTTAGTGGATACCTGGATAATATAAAAATAGATTTATGGAAGAGAACAATAGAATCTGAATGTAAAAGGATGTCCAGAAAATTAATTTGTTGCATCTGAAATTTAAAGTATTTCCTTTTGGCTACACAAGAAAGAGTTTTAATAAAGCCCTTTGTATATATTTCTAAAAGGTAAATATATTATAGGGAAGTGGAGGGTTGGAAGAAAAATCTGTTCCATCATGTCTAGGTATTAGAATTTAGCTTAGTAACTTGCCAAAACATTCTGCTTCCAAGAGCTATGGCATTATGTGTGTACCCAATTAAAGCAATTTTTCTTTGCTTTGTCTCCTAACTTAAATTCAAATGACATGTAAGCTACCACTGGAAGATGGCTAAAACCAAATGTTTCATTGTAAGGCAATGATAACAACTAGTATATTAACCTTAAAGAAATTCTGTGAGTTATAGTTTTGATCCAATTCAAATGTTTATTGAGTTTTGGCCTTTTAAAGGTACTGTGATATGCACCAAGTTACTTATTGTGGCTATTTGTTCAATGTACATTAAGACAGAATTTATATTTCATAAAAGCAAACTCAAAAATTTTAACAATCATGCTAGAAGAGTGAGGAAAATAAGGAAAAGTTTTTGGGGAGTGTGTATATACATGCATATGTTGTATATGTGTATGTGTGTATATGTACATGTGCATACACACATATGGAATAATTTTAACAAAATGTAGATAGCCTTTACAGTCTTCGAAAGCAATATCAATAGGTCTCAATAATGAGTAATGATATTGAACTATATACCATGTCTTCAGGCATTCATTATTTCCAGTGTACAAACTATATTTTCCACACTGAATCATTCAAGTTGCTATGCAAAAAGTGACCTTCCTTGATCCTCGAACAAATAACAGTGTTTCTTTTTTTGCTGAAAGATATGGACTATTGGGATGATCGATGTTTTTTCCACTTGTTCAAACCTTGAGCAACAGTTACTTTTGAGTAGTGTTTCGAACACTTCTGAACTGAGTATCATGTTATACTACCTTCTAGGCCTTACCGTTCACAGTCAACGACACCGTGTCCCGGGTGTCTTCAATCCCGTACATGACATCACAGCGGTAGAGGCCCGCGTCACTTGCAAGCAGTTTGACCATGGTGAGTGAGGCGTCGCCCACATCCTCAGGGTGTGTAGGCACCGACACTCTCCCTTTGTAGCCCAGGCCAATCTTGATAATCCCATTTTGAGCCACGAGAACAGTAGTCTCCTTTAAATCTTTTCCACTCTTGTCCAATTCAATCTTAGACCATTTGATTCGGAGAAATTCGCTGGTGGTGTTGTAACTGGGTGGTAAGGTAGGCATGGTTGAAAAATGACAAGGAAGGTTGACTTTCCCAGAGAGGGACCCCTTAACAGGTGGGCTTTTTTCCACTTTGACTAGAAGAAAGAGAAAATATCAAATTAATAGTCCTAAAAAAACAGTCTATTAATTATGTAAATAGATAAGAAACCCTTACAGAAATTTGTTTATCTTCAATATATGAAATAATGAGAGTGATTTTATGTATACAATTTCAATAATGTTTTATAACAAAGGGGTAGATTAATAATATTCCTTTTATACTAAAATATGCATTAATATTAAAGTATTTGTAACTTGGTGTTTAACATGAACAAATAAGTGATAACATAAGGCAAGCAAAAAAGAGCCAAAGGAGACTAGAATCAGGAATGCAGGTTCAAGATACTGGATCAATGGAAGAAAGAGCAGTTGAAAGGTGAATTTATGTCACAGGTCAGAAGATGAAAAACGTTTGTTAAGATAACTGCCACATTACCTTAGAGGAAATGAAAATAAAATTTAAAGAGGAAGTGAAAATAAAAAAAGATGCACTTCAGTAGAGTGGAACAGGGGAAGTCTAACACTTGAAAGGACCCTCTTTGGTTCAGTGTTTGAACCAAAGGCTTTCATTATAATGACAGATCCAGCTGCAATCACTTTGCAGTGAAACCTTACCTCTAGATTATATCCTGGGGGAGAGCTGGCATCTGTTCACCTAACTCCCCTAAAGTATTAATCTGCACAATGTCTTTCTGTGTAAGCCCTTAAACTTTTAATGGAAAAGAATGTATTGGCTACAATGTAACACTATTACATGCAAGAGAAATGTTCTTTTACTCTTATAGGAATCCACACCTCCCCCGACCCCATCTTCCAGTGTCTACTAATTGGCCTGAGGATTGTTGGTAATAACAATAGAAATGATTGTTAATACAAAAGTAGTTTCCACTTAATGAAATATGATGAACAAGTTAATCGGTGGAGTGAAATAATAATTTGTAATTAACAACATGACATATATCTAACATCAGTGTGTTAGTGGTCAAAGGTGGTGTTAACACACATATCAATATGGATTACATCAGAAATTATATAGTTGTCAATATAGCTCTGTGGATTCAGCATGAGGTAAGTTATTTTGAAAATTGTAGGAAGATATGGAGATATTATGCTCTTTAAGAAAAAAAATACTATTGCTAGAGGTTGAAATTTAACTTCAGAAAGACTGGTTTATAAGATGTTTCATGTGATACAAATAATCTAAAATTATTAATACAGTAACTGTATATGTAATAGAAACCAGTAATCATTCCAAGTTTATAATGATCATTGCCATCATAAATTCTTTAGCACTTTACTAATCTAACAGGGTTTAAGGCACTCAAGAGTAAATAAAATTAAAAGGAAATGTGCTATTAGCTGCACTAAGTTAATCTTTAAAATGTTACAAAGACTATTAGTATTTTGGACTATAATAGCAAGGCAATAATTCTATTTTTAATGGCCTCCTTGGCTTATAAAATAAATTCTCTTACTTAAAGCCCATCCTCAGAGTGAAACTGGTCCAATACCTTACTAAGGATGCTCCACCAAAGAAGTGACTGTTAAGATCCCAGCTTGCTGGAGACAGGCCTAGACCCAAACATGTCTCCTTACACCTCATCAAGGCATCTTTCAGCTTTGGTATTTATTGGGTTCTTCCTCTGTCCCTAAATTAGTTTTAGTTCCTTTCCAGTCCACAGCTATCCTATCTCTAATGGCTATCTGAACTGAAAACTGTTAGAAATTTCATAATCTTTTAAATAATTCTGTAAAGTCCACAGGGGACTCCCAGACAGTAACCACTACCTGTTTTAGAGGCCTTTAACTTGGAACCCTCCAGGGAGATAGGACTGCTCATTTTTTTTTGGCCAGGAATACGGGTCCTGAGAAGGAAAGGGGTGAGGGTCCTGTGACCTAAAAATCTTTTAATTTACATTTATTACATTTCTAAAAAATCTCATCTACCTTCATGAAGAATTATTTAGATGATTGACTTCAGCAGAAGTAAAGTCTTGCATTTTTAATGGAGAATAAACTTTATCATCAACCTCAATAGTGGTATAAATTATAAGATTCTTTACTACCTCCTTAAAAATAATTTTAAGACAAGTGACTTAGAATTCTTTGATATTTATTATTAAATTATAGTTCTCTTCACAGTTTTAGATGTGTAGAGGCAGATATGGGGTTCAAGCCAATCTATCCAATCGAGAGGTCTTGGAAACTTAGAGTATTGCTCAATAGCTCTACTGTATTGAAAAGATATACTGGAACAAAATAATGTCAAAAAGACAAATTTCCCAAGAAAATTAAAACCTTTGGTTGGGCATAAATGTATATTCCATGTAGAATCCAAGACTAACAAAAAGCTGTGTGGTCAGCTTTTTTGTGTATGAAATCTTGGGTCCTAACGCACTGGATCACAAGAGCTAAGTTCACTAAATCTAAATATTTTAAGAAAGAAATTTAGCAGTTCAGAGGATAATGTTTATGGATTATCCTTGTTTAAAAAAGAAAGCTGCTACCTGCACAAACTTGTCTGAAATTCCGACAATGCAAGGAATAAAAATGCTAACAAAAAGTTTGCTATTCCTACCAGAAGGTTTGTGATCTAAATGAGTACTATAAGGCAGAAATGGCTAAATACACCTAATATATGTATTGAATGAATAATCAATGACTTTTCACTCTCTGTCCATACATTCTTCAGAAGAATGATGTAAATTCCATCTACATTATTTGACCAAACACGCTTATACGCACAGAGACTTTGGCCAAAACATGTCAGATCGAGAGTATAGGAATTTATCACTTTCTCAGGTGATAAATATTATTTTCTCATTCATTTATTTATGCATGACTGTGCATGACTCTAGTTATTAATATTAGAGGACTATCTAAATAACTAGGTCAATGCTAGAAAATCAAAATAATGTGTATTGTTAAAGCAAAGAGCTCTTCATGAATTAAAATTAAGCCAATAACCAGTACACAGGGTGTTCCTTAATGTGAGTTATTGACCTTTGAAGACCTAAGAATAAACAGAAAAAACCTTAAGATGTAAGCACTTGTGTTGACTCACAACAAGGTACTGTGGTGTACTTCACCATGAACTTGGCAAGTCTGTTTTATGTGGGTCTTACATGTTCAACTTTGTCCTCTCATGTAAAAATAAATAAATTCTTCTGAAATTAGCCCCAGTTAATCACATCTCTTAATCATGATCATAGATTTACAAAGAACTCAGTTCTTGGAGTGAAAAGAGCATGGCCTGGATTGGGGAGGAGGTGGTAAGGTCTCTTTGAGAAAGTAAGACTTAAATTGGGATAGAGAAACCCAGGTGGCTAGTAGAGTTTAGGGTCCACTGATTTGTTAACAGTTCAGGAGCTGCCTTTTTCCCATTTTCAGCAAGCAAAGGTGAAGGAGCCCAACTGCCTGGGTTCGACTCCAGGCTCCAACACTAAATTGATGTATGATCTTCTACATTAACTATGCCTGCAAACCTTTTGGTACTGCAGTTTCCTCGTCTAACAAATGAAGAGAATAAAAGGATGTATCATTAGAGAGTTAAGATTAAATAAACTAACTATGCAAAATACTTTCAACACATTAGGCCTAACACATTAAAATTACTCAATATTTTTAGTTATTATTATTGTCTTACTATGTTAAAATATTGTCAAGGAGCTATACCACAGTTTGTTTGTTTGTTTTAATTTGGGGGGTGAGTTCTTTTCCTTTTTTTAAGTAGAAAGTCTAAACTTTCTTTTGAATGAGGATGGTTGCTCTGTCCTTCCAGGTTCTACTGCTACTTCCTCTATAATTCCCCTTCCATTACTACCTACCCAAACCAACTCCCTTCTCTATATCTCTTTTCTATGCCCTCCCTCTTCACTAGATGCTGTTTCCCTTTCCTTTCTGTAATGTTCACCTTTATGCCTGAAAATGTGAAAAATGCAGCTCCTGAACTGTTAACAGATCAGTGGACCCTAAACTCTAATAGCCATCTGGGTTGTTTCTATCCCAATTTAAGTCTTACCTTCTCAAAGAGGCCTTACCACCTCCCCTCAACCCAGATCATTCTCTATGATGTCACACTGCTTTATTTTTATCAATCTGAAAGTACCTGACTTGTTTATTTACATGTTTATCATCTGTCTCATGTAACTAGGAGATTAAGCTTAATGAAATCCAGGATAACGGTATATCCCTGTACACCCATAATTAAACCTGGAACATAGAAGGTGTTCAAACAACTGTCAGTTGGTAGTTACATGAATGGATAGGTAAGGGGTGGATGGATGAATAAATAGATGGATAGATGAAATGATACTTAAATGTTGAGTACTGAAGAATGAGTTGAAGTAGAAGTGTAGAGAATAAGAGACTGGACTGCAATGCAGAAAAATTACATATGAAGAATGAAGTAATATGAAAGTCTGTGCATGGAATGGCAAAATACTTCAGAGATTCTGAAGGATAGAGAGCGTGTGAGAAAGAGGTGGATGCTGTGTCTGGAGAGGCACCCAAACAGGAGTAGCTCACTGCAGCTCAAGGCAGTATCGTTCATGAATCATAGTCTACGAATTGGGAATTGTGAAATATTCATTTGGTAGACATATAATTTAAAGCTAAGAAAAACAGTTTATGTGAATGCATCTAGTTACTTTGAAAAGGAGAGAGAAAAGAAAGGAAAGTAGGTGCAAATACTTGGCTGTCAGTCTTCTCTTTATCTTCTTGACTTTTCTCAAAATCTAGTCTCCTGAGGGTGTGATAGTCTTTTTTTATAGGAAAGTCTTTGAGTAGTATTGAAGAAGATGGGAAATTTGCCCAATGACACATGCAGTTGGCCCTCCATATCCACAGGTTCTGCATCCACAGATTCAACCAACTGAAGATTGAAAATAATTTTTTAATGTTATGTTGCTGGTGAGTAATATGTAGTTAAGCCCAGATGGTTGCCTCCATACTTGAACACATTCTCTAAATAATACAGTATAACAACTGTTTATATAGCATTCCTATTATATTAGGCATTATGAATAATCTAGACATTATTGGTTTAAAGTATATGGGAGGATGTGCGTAGGTTACATGCAAATACTATGCCATTACATATAAGGAAAGTGAGCATCCTCAGATTTTTGTATCTGTGGGGAGGTCCTGGCACCAATTGCCCATGGGCACCAGGGGATGACTGTATGAGCCTTTTGCACAGTCTGGAAGTAATCTGGGAAGTTACCATAAGCCCACCTGCTTCTTTAAGCATCCTGTTCATTATTCTGTTTTGATTGATTTATTTAAAACCACTCTTTTCAGCCTAATAATATTTTAACTAAAAGTTTTCAGCACTGAATAGATAAAAAAATTAATCTTTTATTCTAGTTATTCCATATTGCTATTCCATGCTCCAGCACTTAAATTTTTATTTCCCTTAGCACCAAACAAATTGTTACCACACTCACCTTCATGTAGTGCATGGGTTGCTATTAAAGTAGAGCACATCAATAAGATGCTCTTTATATTAATCAACATCTTGTCCTAGAAATGAAGAAAAATTCAAAGTAAATCATAAGCTTTCAGGTTTATGGAAGGCTATAAGTCACATGCTATTTGTACGTTGTATGTGAAAAGAATACCAGGAGCAGCTCCTCTTTGATAGTCAAAACAGGAAAGGAAATTGCAATAGAAGTTGTCTCAACACTATTAGTTTGACTCTCACACAGGGCAGTGGTTACCAAAATAATCACAGGACCCAATTTGGGGACATAACAATATGAACGCGTGGGACAACCACAACTGGGTAGGCTATAGGAAGAACAATAAAGACCACAGCCCTTATTACTGGTGGCTAAAAGCTGGCACAAAGAGAGGAGGGTGACCACAAAGTCTATTTAGAAACAGGAAACTGGTCATAGAAGGAGCAAGAGAAGATAGGAAAGCAATAGGGAGAGATGTTGAAAGAAGAAGATTTGCATCAAATTTGAGATGGGAAGGAACCTGCTGGTGGTTCATACACATGGTATCAAAAGAGAGAGCAAAGACTTCAGCAGGCTTTTTAAAAGCACAGACTCCATTTAGTTTCTAGGAGGCTGAACAAACAAATACATACATTATGAAGAACTGTTAATTACAAAAAATTACCAGTGCTGGCCTTGAGTTTTAAAACCATCTCAACAGTTCTAAAGTCTGAAGGGTAAAGCATGAAAGAAAACACTCGGATCTGAGTCAAGAAACCCACCTGGCCCTGGCTTTGCCATTAATTTATTGTGTGCATGACTTTGGGAAAAACATTTTAACAAACTGAGACTCAGAATGGTCCCCTCCAGCTCAAATTTCTATGAAGCTGTAATTATGAGGATGGTAAGTACCAGTGTTGGGGACCATCTAGAAATCAAAGAGCCAGTCTCTGAGGAATTGCAGATTATTTGATCTCCACAGTTCTATGAGTATTAACTGAACCCAAATAAGAAAACTTTCTATCAATATACTTATAAACCATAATTTATCACCCTTAAAAACTGTTCTCAACTTTCTTTTTTTTCTGGAAATATTTCTAAGTATAATGTTAAAAGTCTGGGCTCTACTGTTAGATGGTCCTGAGAAGGGAACTTCTCAGCCACATTTAGAACTCTTCTATAATGGGCACTGTTTGCTATTCAATTCAAGAATGGCTATGAATAGCCATTCTTCTTTCTCCTTTCCTACAAAACTCTGATTCCATCATAGTATCTACCCTCCTTCATGCAGCCATATACTTTAAAGGAGCCAGGGTCAAAACCCAGCCCAAAGAGTGATTCTGATTGTCCTAAGGAAATCCCATTCTTGTCACCAGTGATCAGTTTTTAAATAAATACATAATGCAATTTTGGCCAATGAGAGGTGAGGAGATCTTTGCAGGGGTTCTAAAAGGTGCTCCTGGGAAAGGTGTATTCATCTTAGGGAGAGAGAGAGAGAGAGAGAGAGAGAGAGAGAAGAGATGGTAGCTTTTCCTCACTGCACATTGTGATGACAGATTTTCTTCTCTCACTGTTGTAGCCCTGTTGCATCTCTGAGTATATACGATAGCCCCCGGGGATGGAGCTGAGGAAGAACTGGAAGGACCAGAGCTTAAACCTAGAGTGAGCCTAAAGTGAACCTTTGCATTTTCTTTTACATGAAATAATAAATTCCTTTATTATTTAAAACCAGTAAAATAAGGGCTTTTTATTACCTATAGCTGAATGCATCCTGACACATATATGTGCTGACATCCTAAATAGCTTCCTAACACTTTCCTTAGAAAACATATTAATTCTATATTATTTAGGAAACCTAGATTGACAACAACCAAATGCTACAAGAACCAAAGTCAAATTTAAACTCAATTTCAATTTCATAATTTATGCCAGGTATTCATTTTTTCTGTATACTCATCTTGATTTGAATGCTTTATTTTTATATATCTTGAAATGTGTTAGAACTGATCTAAAACAAAATTATAAAATTCCAGATTTTTCCTAAAGAGCATTTTTTAACCTAATACATTGTATGTGTATTTTTCATCTATAGGCCATTGGACAACTCACAATGAAAATCATATAGTTGATAAACCTTGACAATTAAGTTTATTATTTAACATACAATTACTAGAATATGCTAATAAATGTTGTTAAGCACCAACAGGGAGATTAGATTTCTACATTTCTGGATTTCTTACATGATACCACAGCACACAGAAAGTATACACCTATTTCTCAATGTCATTGCAACATTTCAGGGAAAAATAAAGATATCAATTTCACATACTCTATAGTTAAAAGTTTCCAAAAAATGTAATGTTAGATTATATCATAAAACAGTATTAAAGAAAATGTATTCTATGAATATTAACTGAATCCAAATAAGAAAACTTTCTATCAATGTACTTATAAACCATAATTTCTTATCACCCTTTAAAAAACTGTTCTCAACTTTCTTTTTTTTCTGGAAATATTTCTAAGTATAATGTTAAAAGTCTGGGCTCTACTGTTAGATGGTCCTGAATTCAAGTTCTGAATCCTCTACAGATACTCCGTGATTTGGGGTAAGTTATTAATCCTCTCATTTTCAGTAGCTAATTAGATATGAAAAGCAGTACATAATTATTGGAATAATTGTAAGAACTAATAAAATAATTAATATGACATATAACTCATTGATAAAGTATGCCAAATATTCAATATTTATTATTAAAATTACTAATTCAGCCCTGGCTGGTGTGGCTCAGTGGATTGAGTGCCAACCTGCAAACCAAAGGGTGTCTGATTTGATTCCCAGTCTAGGGCTGGGTTACAGGCCAAGACCCCAATGTGAGGCATGCAAGAGGCAACCACACATTGATGTTTTTCTTTATCTCTTTCTCCTTCCCTTCACTTCTTTAGAAATAAATAAATAAAATAAAAAATTAAATTAAATTAAATTAAATTAAAAAATTACTAACTCAGTCTGTCTACAGGTGTTCTCTTCCCGGTTTCATATTGCTAATAGTAAAAAGAAAAGTACTTGAATCTCTTGGATTTGAAAATATTAACCTGGGTTACCCGTATAGAAGCAAAGTGCTACTTCATGCTTACAACAAATTGTCTTATGTGCTTGAATCAGTACTTGTAAACATGTTTGATGTCCTCTGTAGAACTAGCTCTGGGAGTCACAGCTTGTATCATATTCAGCTTCCTAACTCCCACAATATTGCTGTAGTGCCAGGTTTAGAATAGGCTTTTGAAGAACATTCGTACACCAACCAAATGCATGACTATGCCTCCATTTCCTATTCAGAAACACACTTTGAAGCAAATCACCAGTGGTCTCTTATGAAGATGGGCAAGCAGGTTAATTAACACCTGAAACACATAGTTGAATATTTACCATGATGCAATAATAACTGATGTCTGTCAATATCTCGAGTGTTGTATCTCATAACAAACCTGGAGGAGAGGTGTGATCCTGACCCAGGAATGTGTCTTCTGCACCCTAATCTCCTCCATGTCAGACACTCAAAGACTAAACTCTGTGTACCACACTTTATCCTTATAAAAGTGTCTTCTTTATTTGATGGAATAGGAAAAGGGATCTTTCATCTATGTAAGTATAACAAATATCCTCATCACTTAAAATCATCCCAAGACAAGGTTAAGTAATGACACCAGTGCATTGAAAATACAAGGGAGAGATAGATCATGTTTTAAATACATTTGTAAAGTTATGTCTGAGTAAGTGGCCAACATTTAAAAATTGGAGTTTTCACACCAAGTCTCAGATCTGTGACGTCTTTTGAAAAATCAGATCTAGCAACTCTAGGTTCATATTCTACCTGGGCAATTATTAGCACTAAACAAGCAGCAGCCTCTCACCTTGGCTCTGTGTGCCCATTGGGCTTCTCATTCATTTCTACTCCATGCCTGTTCCCTGTAGGCACAGAATTTATATCCCTTAATCTAAAGGATGGTCATTTATCTTTTTAGCAAATACCACCATGCATGTGCATTCATTCATTTCTTTAATTTTCTTAAGGCTATGTCCATGTTCATGGTTGTTAAGTCACCTTATGTTCCTTCTGTGTTTGATCTTACTAATAAATGAGGAACTCTAATAAATGGGGAACTTTATTTTTTTATTGTTACTCTATTATAGTGGTCCCAATTTTCCCCCTTTGCCCTCCTCTGCCCAGCACACCCTCCTTGTCCCACAGTCAATCCCTACACCATTGTCCATGTCCCTGTATCATTCATACATGTTCTTTGACTAATCCCTTCCCCTTTCTACCATTTTCCCCCTCACCCCTCCCCTCTGGCCACTGTCAGTCTGTCCCATGTTTCCATGTCTCTGGTTCTATTTAGCTTATTAGTTTATTTTGTTCATTAGATACATCTTATAAGTGAGATCATATGGTATGTGTCTTTCTACTAAATGAGAAACTTTCTAAAGTCTCGCTTTTGTTTGTTTGTTTTCAGCACCACTCAGACCCCTATTTCTATTCTTCTGCTCTTCCTGTCAGTCTTGAAGGCATAATCTATTAGTGATAACAAGTCTGTCTGCATAGAAAAACCTGGGAGATAGGAGAGCTGTGCCTATATTTAGTTTTCTACTACTCCAGTAAAGTCAGTGAGGAGAGGAGAGAGTCTTTGAACAATCAAGACACAGCTGACTGCAGCTGTCTAATTGCCTGGGAGACACAAGAGACAAGGTCAACCAGACTCCTACCCATGAGAAATGACTGCACAGAGGATAAATGTCACACCAGGAATGGGCTGCTCAGAGAAAGAGAGAGCCCAAGTTCTAGCAAACAGACATTTAATATTCTCCCTTCATTTGGGGGAAGCCCCACTGAGCAAAGGGTGACTTAGGGACACAGGCATAGTGGTTTTGTCTTCCAGCCTTCAAATTAGTTACCCCAGACAACCAACTGTCTAGCACACCTCAGCCACAAAGTGAAAGTAATGAACATTGTCTATCAGATTGCTCCTGGGTGCTTTTTCACAGGAGGAATGGTTGTAATACAGGGAGAAATATCTCATGGTTTA